AAATGATTTTTTCAACCGAATCTCAATTTAGTTCTTATAGTGGTGTATCTAATCTCTTAATTACTTTTAGTCAAGCAAACGATTTGTTAAGCATTGATAACACAAAAAAAATCTTATGTATCATGTAATTTATATTATTTCGGATTGTATTGAACTATAATATGATATAAATATACGATTCTTACGTTTTAATATATTCACATATAGATCGAAGGATTTTTAATATTAATAAATGACATTGCTATACGACTGTTGACTATCGACAAGTCCACAGCCAATGATCAACGGCCGCCCTAGTTGAGTTAAAGTCCTGAATTCGCCCCTGCTCGTAGGCCTCACGGGCATCCCTGGAGTAACAGAGGAATTCATCCATTTCTATAGTGAATTGTTGGGAAAAGACAGCTTTGGACAGCCCTTCAATGCTGAAATTATGAATATTGGGCTTGTATTATCGAAGGAAAATGACATGTTACTTGATCGAGAAGTCACGAGACATGAAATCAAAGTTGCCCTATTTAGTATCGAGGATGATAAGTCACAGGGACCGGATGGGTACACTTTATGTTTTTTTAAGAAGACTTGGGATATTGTCGGTGAAGAGTTCAAGGAGGCAATTGGAGAATTCTTTACTTTGAGGTCTCTCCTCAAGCAAATTAACCACACAGTTGTTACATTAGTTCCAAAGACTAATCATCAGTATACCAGGAAAAGTATAGACCGATTGCTTGTTGCAATGTGTTTTATAAAGTGATCACTAAAATTCTATCTTCTCATTTGAGGCCTATACTTGGTTCAATTGTTGATCAAGCTCAAGCCGCATTTGTGGAGGGTAGATGCATGGTGGAGAATATTCACTTGGCCCAAGAGCTCTTAATGCAATGTAATCGAAAGAGGGTATCTCCTAGGTGCCTTCTCAAAATTGATTTGAAGAAAGCTTATGATTAGGTAAATTGGGATTTTCTTAAAAAGGTGCTTGAGGGGTTGCAGTTCCCTACTACATTCACTGATTGAGCGATCGAGTGTATTGCTACTCTTACATACTCTATTGCACTTAATGGTGGCCTCCATGATTTCATTAAGGGAAGAAAAGGCCTTCGCCAAGGTGATCCTCTTTCTCTGTTCTTATTTGTGTTGTGTCTTGAATATTTTTCTAGAATGTTGAAGGGAGCTACCTTGAATAGTGAGTTCAATTTTCATCCTAAATATGCATCGTTAAAAGTTACTCACATGGCATTTGCGGATGATTTAATGCTCTTTGCTAGAGGGGATGTTATGTCGGTTGAAATTGTGATGAATTGCTTATCTAACTTTGGTGATATGTCAGGACTTAAGATAAATGTTGATAAGTCTTAATTATATACCATAGGCGTGCATGGACAAGAGTTGGAGGGCATTCTTGCTCTTACTAACATTCCCAAAGGTTCCATGCCGTTCCGATACTTGGGGATTCCACTTGTGGCGAGAAAATTGAAAGCAAACTCCTATCAATCCTTCCCCAATAAAATCTCATCTTATATTGGTGGGTGGTCTTGCTTCTCTATATCTTATGTGGGGAGAGTTGAGCTTATAAGCGTAGTTCTTCAAGGAGTGGAATGTTTTTGGTTATCAATTTTTCCCATTCCAGCCGTGGTTACCTCAAAACTTATTAACTTATGCTGAAATTTCCTATGGGGATCAAAAAAACCGTTGGTGGCTTGAAGAAACATTTGCCTTCCTAAGCATGAAGGTGGGCTCGATTTTAGAGACATTAAAAGCTAGAATTTTGTACTTTTCTCCAAAACTCTTTGGAATATACATAGCCAAAAGGATTCCCTTTGGATTAAATAGGTCAATCATTTTTTCGTTCGAGGGATGGACATTTGGGAACGCAAGGTGAATAAAGATGACTCTCCCCTACTTAAAAAGGTGATGGAAATCAAAGATAGTATCTTAGGTGCTGAAGGCACGCTCCATGGCGATATGGACAAACTGCTTTGCTGGACGGAGACTGGGAATTTTTGCATCTCGGCTGCCTATTATTTCTTCAGGCCGAAGGGTGTTTAGGTTGTATGGGCAGCGACTGTTTGGAATGTGTCCATTACTCTTAAGCATGCCTTCATTTTTTGGTTGGCTATTCAAACTAGATTGCTTTCCAAGGATAAAATTCAGTATTTGGATTTAGACTGTAGATGTGTACTTTGTGGATTAACGGAGGAAACAATACGTCATATATTTTTCTCTTGTCCTTTTCGGTAGTTCAGTTTGGGAAATGATACGAAGGTGGTTGTCCATCGCACGTACAATGTCCACCTTGTCAAGTGTAGTGAAATGGATGAGAAAGGAAGCACGGGGAACGACTTGGCAAAGCAAAGTTAAGAAAATTGCACTTGCTACTTCTGCTTACTACATTTGGATGGCTAGGAACAAGAAGATTTTTGAAGATCTTGTGCCACACGTTGATTGTGTTGTAAATCGGATTAAAATGCATGTATACAAAGTTATGTTCACTTTGTATTCGAAGGTTTTAATTCATTATGAATCATTAGCTTTGGCCTCTTAGCTATTATAGTTTGTACGCCATTTCTTTTTACTAATCGGGTATACCGGGTGTATTTGTAATTGACTCTGGATGTTTGGTTTGCCCGGGTATGTTCGGTATACGTGTACATTAAGTTTTGATCTATAAAATTTATATTTACTCATAAAAATAAAATACAGCCTTGTTTCGATAAAATTACAACCAGGTTTTTAATAAATTTTGACAAAAGTTAATGAAATGTGGTTGAAAAAATAAGATCCCATAAAATAAGTGATTAAAATTAATTTTTTGAGTTTGACTTGGATATTAAATTTTAATTTACACCAAACATGGCAAAATCTCAATCTACCAAATTGAATAGAAATCGTAATTTAAAATGAATTATGCTATCTCAAGGAATCTACACAAATAACCTTATTGGTGCACAAATGGCGTGCATACAGGTCATCTGTATAGGTGGCATTTCTCTTTTAGAATTGTTGGTTCGATTTCATGTGAATCCATTAATGTTTCGGTTCAAAAGCGAAGCAACTCAGAAAATAAAATAATGATTTGATTTCAATAGCTAAATTCAAATATTCATTCAGTTTAGAAAAAATTACTTGTTTTACCCCACTTGGTAGCAAGGTTCAAAAATGTGTAATACGTGACAATACATTTTGATCGAACATCAAGCATTACAAGAATATGCTAGCCCATACTAAGGATATTGCGTATTTATGTGTTTTTCAGTTTTTAATTTTTTTTAAATATTCTAAACTAATAAATAAAATAATGTATTTTTTTTAACTTTATACATATTTTTAAAATTTTCAATATATATATATATATATACATACTCAAACTTTATATATTTTCTTCAATTTTTTAGCAAAAATAGAGTGCTCAAAATTATAAATATTACAGTTACTTGGTAACTAATTCCTATAATTAGATTAGACACAGACATTGACTTTAAAAAAATCATAAATATTGTCTAACTCTTTATTGAATTCTAATTCAAACTCTTCTTCATCTAAGTCATCGTTCTTGTTATTTGATATAAAATCATTTTGTTCAGTCTACCTTATTTCAATCGGAGAATTTTATTATCTCCTATAGGTGGTAGGATATCATTATTAATCTTCTTCTCATCATCACGACCATCAACAATCTAAGATTGTTCATTACTAGAATCATTTGCTAGCAAAACTAGGGAAAGACGGAAAAATAAGCAGGCTCGGGCAATGCGTAGATAGTTTGCAACTCCATAATTTTTATTTTTAATCTTTTTAAATGTCAATATCCGACAAATTACTGTATATAATTTATGGGTTTGGAGTTTGAGTTGATGTGATATTTTGGGGGGTTCAATTTTTTTTTTTATTTTTTTTATTTTTTTTAAGTTTTAAAAATGGATTGAACTTTATTAGGCTAATTTTGATACATTTTTAAAACAAATGCTTGCGCTTTTTAACGTTTAAGCGTGCACATGCGACCGACGAAATGGATTGATCACATTAACATGTACATATCCCATATTCGAGACGTTTCGAAGTCATATGCTTGCATTTTAAAACAATGCTTATTAGGTCAATTCATACTTTTCACTAACCATCCCTCACATTTCTTTTAATATCCAGATATACCCTTGTTTTTTAAAATGCTTATTTGGTCAATTCATACTTTTCACTAACCATCCCTTACATTTCTTTTAATATCAAGATATACCCTCGTGTTTTAAAATTTTCAATAATCTCCTCTATTTTAATTTTGATTATCAGAGACACCATCACGTTTCAAAATATTACTAACCTCCTCAATTTTTAATTTTAAATATCATATTTACACTTGTCACCTTTAAGACTAATTAATGATTAAGTGATTTTTATCAATTTGCAAGACAATGGACGACAATCATGAAATCTGAAATTAAATTGAAGTTTAGAGACCAAATTGAAATTTCACTAAAAGATTCATATTTGTGGACGATTCATATATATATATTTTTAATCTCGAATTAATGGTTTATTTGACATGGCTTTCGAGATGTAAAAATGTTTTTTTTTTAATTACTTATAACTTAAAAGCTACCTTGAACTCATTTAGATAATTTTATAAAAACGTATCTTCTAATAAGAAGAGTTTTTAAAGGCAATTGACACACATTCTAAAACTATTTCGAAAGAGAAAGTTCATTTATAAATTAATTTTTAAACATCATCATGATAATTTTCCCAAAAACTTATTCAACAAGAAGTAAAAATAAAAGTAATAGTAAAATAAGAAGTCTGTTAAATGAAATTTAAATATAACTAAGGTATGTGTGGGTCTACAATCAACTAGGACAAATAACATTACTTAGTTTGGTGAGGATTAAAATAAGATTTTTAGTAGATATCGACGAAGATAATGAAATGTAAATTTTTTTTTTTTTTTTTTAGCCAAATAAAATGGGTTCAAGAGTGTCAGATGCCACGTGGCAAATATGCTTTGAATTGCGTGAGTAATTTCTCGAAGCAAACAATCCTTTCTCTGTCCTTAGCATCAAATCCAGTACACCAGCACCATTCACCCAGCGCACCATCCATCACAACAGGGAAAACTGGAGTGAAAGGGCAAATCTGTATGAAATAGAGGCAGCAAAATGAGTAAGCTAAACTCGGAATTGGATTTGGATCGACCTAATATTGAAGACTATCTCCCTTCTGGATCCATCCAAGAGCCTCGCGGCAAACTACGCCTGTATCTCTCAATCCATTTTCTGTATCTATTTTCCTAAATCGATGTAATTTGAGCTAATTACAATTTGTGGTGGCAGGCGTGATTTGCTCGACATTTCGCCCACTCTAACTGAGGCAGCTGGTGCCATTGTCGATGTGAGTAATTTTGCCTTCTTTTAAACGGTTTTCGTTTAAATTAATTGGTCCCTTCTGATACTGAGTGAATTTTCATCAGAATTTGAATAGAGTTCTCTTCAAATATGTTTTTTTTTTTTTTTTTATCCATATGCATGACAATAATATCATAAGTTTTTTGATAAAATGTTAACGATGCCTATTTAGTCAGTTTAAAGGAATGTTCCTCGATATTTTAGTGTGTTACGATATCCTTTATTTGGAAGCCAATATATTCCATATAAATATGTAAAATTTGCTATAAATTGATAATTTGCAGCTAATATATGTGCCTCAATGTATAGATCCCAGTTTTTCTTTCTTTCTTTTCTTTTTTTTTTTTTGAAAGAAAAAAAGAAGAAGAATATTTTACTACGAAGTGATAGAAGCTGCGGCCAACATTTATGTTTATCAGGGCATAAAGGTAGTTTAGCTACAAAAATAAAAATAGCTTTGGTGGTTACAATTGAGCAATTAATTTGATTACACTTGGCAGTTATTACGGAGTGCAATCAGTGAATAATGGGAACAATATTCGTTTCACTAAAACAGATGCTATGCATATTGCAATGTTCTAAGGAGGATTCAATAGATGCATTGCTCGAGATATCGTGTTAGACAAATTGTGTTTATTATAACTCATTTGGTTTAACAAACCCAAAACTTTTGCTAGTGTTTTCTTCATCATAATTTGTTTCATTGCATGGAAATCGGATCCAAAACAAAAATTAGAAATTTGAATTTAAAAAAAACACTCAGTTTTTGAACTTAATATATTTATTGTAGTTTCAAAGTCATGAATGAATATAGAAGCAAAGATAGCGTCAAGTGGCTTTATGAACAATTAATGATGGGTTGTGAAGGATAACTGCATGTCCAAAATATTATTCGTTGGTTCAATCTTGTGGTATGATTTCTTGTTATTCTTGAGTCTTGACCTTGGAATTGGGTATTATGTGACAAATCAAACTGATGTACTTGCTTTGTCATTTTTATACATATTTAGATTTGTCAGTTTCGTACAAAATTACATATATGCTGTAGACATCATTGAAAGG